TAAAGAAAAAAAGATTTAATTATCATTTACCATACGTAATTAGTGTCAAAAATGTTGTTGTTGACACAACTTACATGTCTGATTAATACAGAAGAAACTGCTGAAAGCATCAACAGTTCGGCATATATCAAATCATCTCCACGAGCCATGAGCAATTCCGAAACTCCAATCCACATGTTGTAATCCGATCCATTGACAGCAGCCTTTGATGACATCTTAACACCAAATCCAATATCCGAAACAATCGTTCAGTAAAGTTACAACTGTTTTCAGCCAGCCTCACGAACAACAGTCCGTCAGTTTTCCTCTCAATTTAAGATATCGATGACATCTGTTAACAATGTAGGAGCATAAGAAATAATTGTAAACTACCGTAAAGTATAAATTAATGAAATTATTAACAAATAGCATTTTATTAAACAAACTATGACAAATGCATTAAAGAAAATTGTTTCTAATTCTCTGACTGTTAAAAAACTGTAAACTGAAGCGGAGATTGAAAAACGATGTTGCAAAAAACCGCAATCTTTTGGAGAACTTTTTAAAACAGAATAAACTTTATAAATTTACTGTGTACTAACATCAGCAGTAAATATTATAAATAAAAAATAAAAAATTTTTTCAAATCTCCATCAAACCAGTTACAACTCTCTAGCTGCTGCAATAACTCACTGAAAGTTGTCAGGAACAATAACTGACTCATAAGACAACATCTTTCAAGCGTCAAACTTGCCACACGTTGTCCTCATCATCAACTATTCACAGTTTCTATGGACATGACCTTTGATAATATATACATTCTAACATATTATGCTAATTTGCAGATGATAAATAAACGACAGACTGAGATAGTTGACAGAATACAGTTGTCATCTGCAGAAAAAAAAAGAACAAGAAAAAAATGTTGGTAAGTTAAAGGAAATAAGATAGCAGCAATTGCCACGTTTATGGCATATAACCGACACTGTTTTATATCAGTTGTTTGTCATTAGCAAAAAATAAAACAAAAAAAAAAAAAAAAACACTTCACTTCTAATCATTTTTTTATGCTACTTTTTTTTTTTTTTGAACCATTTGGAACTGGAAAAACCTGACAGCAAAAAAGCCTGGCTGAAATTTTAGTTTTTTTTCCTATTCAACCAGTAACCAACTACTAATATGGCTAAAATTTTTTTCCGACTTCTTAACTTAACGCCAATGTATCATTCACCAAAGAAACGACATATATAAACTGCAAACAGCAGCTATATATGTGTCCTTTTATTGCCGTTTATAAACAAACTTTTTGTATCTTTTCAAGCATAAAAAGCTGGCTAAGTAAAAAATTATCATCAATCATTGCGGAATCAAGAAAAAAAGAAGGAAGAAAAAATTAATTTACGCCCAAAATTCCTGTTTTTTTTTTTTTTTTTTTTTTAAGCATCAGAAATTTACTCAAACCTTTTCCAGTATTAAATATACAACATCAAAAAATTTTTACTAATGAATATTAACTACAATTTTAAAAGTTTATCAAACTGCCAAAGTTTGATTTATAGTGTACCAAAAAAAATTTGATTAGAAGCAAAAGGATTTTGATGCTCCAATAAAAACAAAAGAAAAAAAAAGTATTTCATGTGACAACAGAAATAAACTAAAAATCATTATTGTACAAAATGAAAAGATTGTTGCATAAAACAAATTTTTTTTTTTTTTTTGATCTGCGATTTATTATATGGTCAAAAGTTTGATATTATTAGACGAAAAATCTAATAATAAATAATAATTAGTAAACTTTTTTTTTTTTTTTTTTTCTTCTGGACAGTTTAATCGGTTCTTTTGCACTGACCTTTTAAACTTTCAAATCAATTGTTACATTTATTTGGTTGTTCTAAATTAAGTTGAAATTTTTGTTGTTTTTAACACAAAAATTTTTCTCTTCTAAAAAAAAAATTTTTTGGCTACTCGATTACACCACTATCAGTAACTATATAAAAGTAAACAACGCTTCATCGTACAACTTTCTTCCACCTTTTTTTCCTTTCTTATATCCTACAAATGTACAAAAATTACCACACAGTATAATGTTTTTTTTAAACCAGTAAAAGTAAACGAATAAAGAATTAACAGCAATAAATCTTCTTAACTGCAAAAATTCCCTAAAATTCCGTTTACCATAAAAAAAAAGACAGAAACAAGAAGTAAAGAATGCACAGCTACCGTTAAGCACAGTCATCTTTCGTTGCCTCCTCCATTTCTCCTAACAATTCAAGGTAATCATCATTGAAAAAAAAAAGTCAGGTGGCAAATAAGAAAAATAAGAGCAAAAAGAAGTTTTTTTCTAACGACGTGAAATAATCACTGAAAAAATTTTAAAACCTGAAATTCACTGATGTCAAATAGAACTCGCAGGTAAACCAAAATAAACATCCACAGTTATAATTTTCCTTTCCTTTTTTTTTTTTTT